ATATTCAATAATCTTGTCTTTGTTCTTTTCTTTATAAACTTTTATTCTTAGTGGCTTCCTAAAAGAACGCTTTTGTCCTATTTAGTTTAAGGAACTGGACTGCATTCTACCTATATCTCTCCAACACTTATTGTCCATTCCAACAAGTTGTGCAGTGTATTATCCCTGCTCATAAATGAAATTCATTACACTTCTGTGCCATTTCCACCCAGTGTTCTCACCTGGAATATCCTTTTCCCTCCACCTTTCTCAATCCTATCCATCCCTCAAGCCTCAATTTAAGTCCCATGACTTTATGAAATCTATTTCTATCACTAGATTTGCACATGCATTGTCTCATAATAGCAAGCCTTACATTAGCTATTATTTATCAAAGACCTGTTGTGCTCTGGACACTGTTCAAAGTATTTTACAAAATTATTCCATGTAATATTCAAAACAATCCGGCAGGTAGGTATTATTATTTAATATTTAGTGAAGCCAAAAAGATTAAAGAGTTTTCAAAGCTATGCAGCTAATAAGGGGAAGACTCAAACCTATGTCTACTTAAGTGCATTTCGTTATGCGTTTTCCCTTGATGCTGAGACGGGGGACTTACAACAGGAGGAGGCTAGACTTGCAGGGCAGAAGGATGGGTGGGATATGTAAAAGCCCTCCAGGAAACAGGATACCCCCTACTCCTAAAAGCTCTACACTGTGAGCTTATTGCTTGTGTCATATCTGAACTTTCTTGGTACTCACAGCTTAAATTTTCTCCATAATTGTACAGAACTTTAGTATGTTTCTTTGGGGAAGGGGCACATATTGTTTTTCCATTTGCACTCATTTTCTCAATTATTTTGTGTTCTTTCTTGTTGTATTGGCTACATCTCTGTCCACTGCTACACATCTGTTTAACAGTCTCCATATTAATAAGACTATAAGATTAATCTTTGAGTGCTGAAAACAGTGTTAGTCTTCATTGTCTAATGGCAGTGCTAGATTTTCTGGAATTTAAGTAGGAGTATCATTAATAGGAAAAATTGACATCAACAAACTAAAATTCAGAGGTAACATAGCCTAGTGGTTAGGAGCACAATCCCTGAGTTCAAAATCTGGCTGCATTGTTTATTAGCTGTGTGAACTTGGGCATTTTTATTTAACCTCTCTGTAATTTTATTCTTTTATATGGAAAATGAAGAAAATAATAATATTGCCTACCCTAGAGGGTTTTTGAGAAGAAAATGAGCTCATGTATATACAGTGCTTTGGATAGTGCCCGGTATAGTAAGTCTTATATATGTTGTTGCTGCTGCTGCTATTGTTTGTGTTGTTATGTAACAAATGCCTTTTTAACCCTGTTCTTTAATTATCATTCTTCCTAAAGAAGAGAAAAATTAGATAGAATACAGTGAATGCACCACTAACTAAGGCTTGACTTAGCTTTTCTAGTTAAGTTAGAAGTGAAGTAAAGTGATCTAAGCATTTCTGTGAAAATTACCCTTTGTCCAGATTGGCTAAACTCTGAGAACCGTACTTGATTTTCCATACAACCTCCTGCTTTTCTGTGGTCCCTAAGTCTAAAGATTAGTCTTAAGACAAATACCATCACGGTAGTTTTATGCAAATGTGAGTTTGTTTCCTCCTACCTGCCCCATCAACGTCTATTCCCCACCTAGGACTCTTGCTAATTGTACAGAAAAATCTCCACTACAGTATGCCAACCTTTGAAAGAAAGCCTCGTGTTCCTCATTGTACTCACCTCCCTTTTAGGGCAACGCACCTGAGTCCTGTAGCTTGACAGATTCCCCAGCCTGCAGTCCCAAAGGAACATGTTCAAACTATGTTTATGCTGATATGCCAAGTCGTTACTTCATGTGGCCCATTGTTCACATGGTTATTGTAGACTAAGGGATGAGTTGCTGGTAGGAGAATTTCTGTTCTGGCAGCAGGGATATTTTGTAGTAAGGGGACCTATTCAGTGCACACAGATTTTGCTCACAGGTGGTCTCATATGCCCAATTGCAAAATGAGAAGTGAAAAGCATAGTCAGAATTCCATTTCTCGTTCAGAACAAATCAATCCTTGTGGGTAAATATTTGATCAAAATCAGTAATATTGCCTTTCAGTGTGCTTTTCCCTTGCCAGACATTTTTTTCCCCTTAGTAAGTAGTATCTTTGTTCAACTTTAATAACTATCATATATTATATCGAATGCTTATAGCAAATGGTTTGGTGGAGATAGCCCAAGATCTTCCGGAGTCGAGAGAAATGGATCCGTTTCCCAGTTCTAATACTTACTAGATATGTAACTTTAGGCAAGTCTGTTAACAACTCTAATCCTTGTTGCTCTCATCTGGAAAACAGAAAATGTGATGTACTTTACAGAGCCGGTGGGGAGGAATAACTAAGATGGTTCATTTTAAGCACTTACTGTATTTCTCTTACATTTCCTGTGCTGCTAAGACTAGACAAATAATCAGTACTTGATAAATATTTGCTTATCAATTTTACATTCATTTCTTTATAGATGATACAACAGAGATGTTTATATGCAGTGTAATGTACATGGCAAAGATGCAAACTAGCCAATTCATGAATCAACGTCCTATTTACACTTGCCTGGGAAGACCTCTTTTATTCAACAAAGAAAGTGTTCATGGCTTCATGATATATATAATCTTAAGGAGCTAATGATTGAGCCCAGGTGTCTGCTATCAATGCAAGATATAAAAAAAGTACTGTCATTTATATGCGTGTTAATGTAGAAAACTGACCCTATTAGTCAAAATATTTTATTTTCTTGACCAACTAAAAGTTTGGTTTTAATCCCTTAAGTGCATATCCCGAGGGGAAGTTTTAGGTAATGTACAAATAGAATAAAACAAGAGGGCCGGCCCCGTGGCTCACTCGGGAGAGTACAGCGCTGGTAGCACCGAAGCCGCGGGTTCAGATCCTGTATAGGGATGGCAGGTGCACTCACTGGCTGAGCGTGGTATGGACGACACCGTGCCGAGGGTTGCAATCCCCTTACTGGTCACAAAATAAATAAATAAATAAATAAATAATAAAACAAGAAAAGTAAAGTAAAAAAGACAAGTGAGGAAATTATTTGGAACTTGGATCTGGTTGGTTTTTTGTCCTGAATTATTTAGATAAATTACCTCACTTTTCTCTTTTGCTGACGAGGTGGCAAATTAGGTAGGGTATGTTATTCTGTGTAAATTTAAAAAACAAAAACAAAAACATAAGATGGATATATATTTGACAAAACTCCATTCTGCAAGAAGCCCAGTACTAGTTTTCTACTGTGTATGCTAGTTTCAGAAACAGGTTATATCCTTCCAGAACAAGCCTGTTTTTGATGGGATAGAGATAGATGCTCCTCAAGCTGTTTTAGTATTTTCCTTCTTTCGACTTCTGGTGCGGCTCTATCCATATCCCCGCCCCTCCTCCTGTCTTCCAGTCAAAGAAAATGGGGGTCCATCAGGGATTGTTAGGCTGCCAGAAATAGTGACAGGAGACATTCATTGTTTATCTACCTTACTTCTGCAGCATGCAAAATTCTGCACCTTAAAAGACACTGTTTTCAACACAAGCCAGTTTTTCCTAATTTCTAACATGTTATTGCTACCACTTTCCCCCTTACTTTAGCAGAATAATTTAATTCAATTTTAGAAAGACAGAGAGAGAAAGAAAAAACTTTTCTAGTTATACAGATCAATCCAATTATTCGGGGCTTCAGAATGAATTTTTAAACTTGTTGTACAGAAGCACACAAATCTCTAAGAGCAAGTCAGATAATGTACAAAGCCTCCATTCATTGTGTAGGCAGAAAGGAATGCTGGTACCCAGCAGCTCTCGAAGGAATGTTCCTTTGGCTTTGACTGTTCTGCTGGGAACAAGGAGGGAAACACATATATAAAATGAATTTATAATGTCTCTGGCTTGTAATGGCAAAATGATAAGAAAAGTTGGCTGTTTAATATAAACTGCCAGTTGCATATTCCAGGCCTCCTCTCTTTGAGGTCCCGCCCACATCCACACGCCTGGCTACTGTTTAGTGAGGAGCACAAAGTGGCCGTTTATTATTATTGACTGGTGAGGCCTATGCTCCCAAATTCATTCTGTCAACAGAATGTAAGCAAAGTTGGCATTTTAAAGCAGGGCTCTTTCAGTTTCTGGGTTTTCTCAGGATTGCTATGCAACAGGATCAGTGCTGTAGTCCCCGGTTCAAGCTGAAAATGTTACACAGGAAGACATACCATATAAAGGTCAGATTCTTCTACTATGATAATTTTCTTGATCTGTGTATGTACAATGAGGTTGAATGCATAACCTCTTATCATAACTCTTACCAAGGTCCTATGAACTTTCCACCTGTCAAGTCTAAAAGTATGACAGTACTTTAAATGGGAAATCTTACTAATAAATGTATGATGCTGTAATGTATGTATGATGCTGTAATACCAACGTGAAATTAATGTATGTTGTCAAAATGATTTTCTCTTATGATAGAATTCCATTAATGTGCTGGTGCTGTGGACCAAATACAACCTTGTTTATTAGTCTTTCCAGGCTTTTATGGTCAGAGTCAACTCTACAGATTACTATGTACGTGGAAAATATGACTTGACCCATATTGTAATGAAATAATTGGCACTGGGGTACACTTTATCATGGAATTTTATTTCATACTACTTCCATAAAACAATTCATTTTGTACATGAACTAGAATATATAACATAAAATTTGTAAAGTTATAAATATATTACTTTCCAACTTACAATAACAGGGAATAAATTTATTATACCTAAGAAGATGCCCATTTTCAATCTACATAATAACATGAAGAGACAATACATCAAGAAAAGTGATTTGGAGTGTATCTTCTTGTTAGCTGGCCTAATCGAAATGTCTTTTGAACTAATAATTTATTTTTTGCAGTTCTCCAAATTCACATTCATGGCTGGTTTCTTTTGTTTGGTAATTCTACATGTATTCTTCCTGGCATCCTGTAGGACCTCCAAGGAGAAATTGAAGCTCACACCGATATCTATCACAACCTGGATGAAAATGGCCAAAAAATCCTGAGATCTCTGGAAGGTTCTGATGATGCAGTCCTGTTACAAAGACGTTTGGATAACATGAACTTCAAATGGAGCGAGCTTCGGAAAAAATCTCTCAACATTAGGTAGGAAAAGATTGGTAGCAAAGAAAACCAGAAATGAATTAAAATGGCAAAATTTTCCCTCGTTTTCCTAGCACAAGTAGGTAATATGTGTTTATGTAAATCACCCAATTTCAGAATGATTCATTTTATTTTAAATAAATGAATCATTCATTTGCTTGGTATGGAGATGATACTTGAGGGTTCAGATTAGATTAAAATGGTGATGTTTTATAACGACAGGAGAGATGCATATTAAGACGTTAGAGTGAATTTAAATGAAGAGCACAGCTATCCTAATTTCATAGAGTTCTCTCTCGGTTTATCACAGGGTTATACAAAAAGTGATCAAATTAATGGATGTTTATTACAGAATTCTTTCTTTGGCATTACTCTAAATGCATATCAGAGGACATTCTTTAAAAATCATAATGCATTATAATTAACAGTTTAGAGGGGACCTCTCCATAGCTCCTGCAGCTAGAGATTATAGCAACTTCCTGTGTTTTGCTTTCCCTTAAATTTTGTTAAAACACATCCTCTGTACTTTGTACTTTGCCCCTTTCTATTTATCAACTTTCTTTTGAGAAGTTAATGGATGCATCTTAGCATTGTTGTAAGGAGGACAGAGGGAAGCGCGTATTACACCCATCTTTGCAATAGTTCAGTGGAGGGACAAAAGCAGAGAGAGTAAGTGAAATGCCTATTGTTACCTAAATGATCTAGAAAGTTCAGGGAGTGGGTCATTCTTCCTGATGTTTAATCAGTTGTCTTTCCTAATTTGCTTCTGTTTTTAAAAATATTTTGTGCTTTCTTCTGTGCCTAGAGGAGTGGTGATAGCAGATGGAGGTAGAAGAGAACAAATGGACTGCATAATAGTTACGAGGGAACGCACTAAATACTGGGAGTAGTTACTACCTCTAGGTAGTAAGATTGCAGAGGGGAGATTTTTTTCTTTATTGTTCTTCTAAATTGTCCAAAATTTCAACACATAGCATATTTACTTCTAGAAGGAGAAAAAAAGAACTGAGATTGTATTAATTTAAAAGCACTATTGTAAAAATCTACATCTAATATAAAATAAGAATGATGTTAGCAACTAACACTTACATGGTGGATCTATATATCATGCAACGCTGCAAGCAGTTTATATTTATTGACCCATTTACTGCTATCAGCAATCCTAAGAGGTAGATTCTATTAGTGTTCTCTCTTTATGTTTGAAGAAAGTGAGGCACAGAGAGGCTAAATAACTTTTCTGAGATTACTTAGCAAGTGGCAGATCCAAGATTTAAACACAGGAAATCTGATTCCAAAGCCTGAGCTTTTAACCATCATATTATACCATAGAGCATAAAGAAGAAAACTTATAACTAAATACATAATTATTGAAAGGGTGAAATAGAGAAGCAGATTTCTAAGAACAGAAAAGGATTTATTTTTATTTATAAGGTTTTTGCACCCCAGCTTCCCAGACATTCTTTCCTATCTCCCTATTTTGTTCATGAATTTCATATCAATGTGTTGGTGATGAGTTGGAGGCAACAGTGGTATTTTCAAAGATCGGGAGGCTTCATTAGCTTTCTACAACTGAAACTCTTAAGAGAAGTCAGTGTGCATAATGGCAGAGGCCACTTTTAGAACGTCTGTCATTAAAAAGGAATGAAATATGTGAGATGGAAAAGATATTGGTAGGTAAGGAAAAGAAAGTTATTCTTTTTTGCGGGAAAGAAAAAGAAAGGCGCTATAACTGTTCTGAACATCACTCAGTGCCTTTTCTCTCCTTCATGTGAACTTGATGAAATAAAAGGAGAATTGAAAGCAGCAAACAGCATGTCAGCCAAAATATGAGCTTTTCATTCTCAGCAATTTCCCATATGCCAGCTACTGCAGTTTAATTCTTGCTGTCGTTAATCAAGTAGAAAACAGTTACCTGAGCTTATCTAAGATGCTGCAAATTCTAGAATTTGTATATTCAGATCAATGGTTTTGGCTTTTAAATAGGTCTCTCTAATAATTCAGGATGTTTTGTAAGCACTAGCTTATAAAAAGCAAAGAAGTAATTCTTCATGTCAAAGCAATGTAGTTTATTTTCTGACACTTGGTTGAAATAAGGGTATCAGTCAATCCATTGTGAATGGCAGGGTTCATTTGAGAGAAGCACAGTAGAGGTAGTAATTTGGAATGATTATAAAATAAGGTAGATGAATACTGGAAGAGATAGTTACGGAACCGTTAGTGGCACTGATAAGCCTGCATTGTGAATGTCGTCACTTTCTCACTCGGGGTTATTTATAGTGAAAAGTCACCACAATTAAAAAATAGTTCCAAAGATACCCTGGAAAAACAGTCCTTGTGTTTGCCCAAGTTATAACACGTGTATTATACTCAAAAATTTACAGTTGGTTGGGCCGGCCCGGTGGCGCACTGGATAAGTGCGCCGCTTGGGAAGTGCGGCGGCGCTCCCGCCTGAGGGTTCGGATCCCACATGCAGACCGGTTCCCGCTCACTGGCTGAGCGAGGCGCGGGAGCAACACCGAGGGTTGCAATCCCGTTGCTGGTCCCCAGTCCGGTACGGGGGCGACACTGAGGGTTG